AACCACTTCTTGAATCCCATCAGCTCCATCCCCAGTTCTTCAGGTGCGGTTTCCTCCGGCTCCTTAATGGAGCATTGGCTCCAGTCCTTCTTCCATGAGATGACCTTCCTCCTTGCAGGAAAATGCTGTCCCAGCGTGAAGCTCAAACCAGACCAAGCAGGTGGGCTGCCTCCCTCAGCGGGGCTCTGCCCGGGTTTACCTGCTGCTGTGGGAATTGATCTGCCCAGACCCCAAAACGTGCAAGGGCTGAGCAGACATGTCTGAAAAGGGAGCACAACCGGGGCTTGCAGTGCTTTGAGGCCCCAGGGCTGTGGCCATGCAGCAAGCAGCCATGCAGGGGACTCCAGGAGGTCCATCCATGGGGACAGCAGGGCTGGGTGTCCCCAGCATGGCCAAGCCACCTTGCATCCCTCTGGGCTTCTCGGACTCAGAGCAGGAGCAGCAGGAGCGAGCGCTGGAGAAGGAGTGCTCGTTCTGGGCAGCAAGCATCCCGCTGCAGGGCCCATTGGGGTGTCTGCACAGAAGGAGAGATCCCATGGGATGAAAATGGCTGTCACCCGCTGGGCTGGGCCACAGACGGTGGGGGCAGGCAAGGGACAACCTCTGTGTGGTTCCTCCCTTGGCATGGCCATCTCCCAGCTTGGGTCTCATCTCCCTGAGAAGCTCCTCTTGGGGGCTGAGAACAGGCAGAAGCAGCATCCGTGTGTCCTGCCGTGCACAGGACAGGGCCTGGGGACACACTGGGGACCCACATGCCTGAAGCAGCTGGGTCCCTCGCATTCAGCCAGGCCCAGCCTGTGGAGCTGACTGCTGCACGCCAGGATCAAAGTGAATTTCACTACATGGGATAAAAAAAGAACATACCTGGGATACACATGAAAGGCTCTTCCAAGCCTCAATTAGGGAGGGAGATATCTGATCAAGGAATGAGGGGCACTGCGCCATGCCCTGAGGTGCTGTCAGCAGAGCAGCCCAGCTCCTGCTCCTCCCCAGCGTTGCTCCAGGAGGACCACAGCCCTAATCTAGACCTTGGATCCTTGGATCTGCTTTCGAAGACCAAACAACACGCTGTTGGCCGCGAGCGGAGCCAAGCTGGTCTCATGGTATTTCTCTGTTTATCGCTGCAGATCCTGCTCTTCGCTGCTGTCGCCTTCAGGGGTGTAGTTTTGTGCAAGTGCTTTTGCAAAATAAACCTGACTGTCCTCTCCACAGCCATTCCACAGCTCCCACCGGCAAACAGGAGATGCAGCGGCACCCAAACATCACCATCAGCCTGAGTGGCAGATCGGGCACAGACCCCAGGGGCAGGGTCAGGGATGGGCACAGACCCCAAGGGCAGGGTCAGGGACCTATGTCAGAGCCATTTCTGATTCATGTCTGTGTCTGTAGCCCTCCTCCCAGCACAGCCCTTCTGCAGTGGGGCTCATGGAGCTGCAAAGGGAGCCTGTTGCCACGCTGAGAGCCCTGGGGCTGCATCACCAGCACCAGCCACCCGTCCGCAGCCCTTCCTTGTGTCCATCAGCCTGGCTTAGGTGCAGGGAAGAGGATCACCGAGCCCCACGTGGCACACAGCTGTGGCCCTGGCACGCTGCTCCTGCTCGTGGTGCTGCCAGAAGTGGTTGCAGATGACAATCTGCCTGCACTGCGTTTGCTGTGAACAGCTTTTGGGCCTGAGGAAACAGAAAAACAAGTGCGTGAGCCTTTCATCATCTTCAAAGCCCACAGCCACTGAGCAAGCCTGGCTCCATCCCGGCCGTGATTCACCCCAGGTTGCTCTGGCTGTGGTTTGCAGAGCGGATGTTGTCCCCAGAATCTGGCATTTTCCAGCGGTGATGGAGCGTGTTCACCAGCTCTTCTGTCACCAGCACCGAGTCTGGCAGCTCCATTCCCCACACCTGGAGCCATCCCGGCAGCGCGGGTGCGGGATTCCAGGCTGGGGTGGGGAGAGGCACTGCAGGAGGGAGGCTCCAAGAGGATGCGAGGGGGTTGCTG